CATCCAAACTCTTGTCATGATTTTGACTCCTACTTACCAAAAGTTCAACACCGTCTAACCATTTAATTTAGGTGACTAAATATATACACTATTGTACTATAATTTAGCATTCTATGTTTTACATTTTCATGTAATTTATCAATGGAAGACATGCGTTATAAAGATGTCCATAATTTTTATCTCATAGTTTTAGAAATAAATGAAAAAAGAAAAGGTAAGCTTCTTCACTTAGAATTCTGGAGTCAAGAGTATTTAGGATGTAAGTAGGCCAATTGCCGGATCTAGATTTTTTTTATTTTCAAAACAAAATGTTCTAGTTCTTTCCATTGCTGACATAGTTGGCTCCATGTAACATTTGGAGAGAATCTCTTTTTGTAGAATTATCTTGCAGTTTGAAGTCATTTGTGGTGGGGAAAAAAAGCCAGCTGGTGGCTAACAAATATAAACTAGAGGGACTGTTGATAGGAAGGAGGGGAAAGATCATAGAATTGATTTTATGAATCTTATTAAAACAAACTCTAAACTGAGTTATTTTGTCATATGGGTATTTTATATCAAATATTCTTGGAAGCAAGTGACCATTGGCTGGAACAACGCAAGCATTTGTCATCTAGAGATTTTTCACTGAATGTTAAAAGTCTAGAAAGAAACAATGGTACATAATTGCAACCAACACAAAATTTCTAATGGTAATGGAATTTTACAGCTAATGTACTTTACAAACTGTTTTGATCAGAGTTTTATGTGTGTTTGTAGTGATTCATTTTGCCTGTTTATATTGAGAATTATATTGAAAGTCATGTATGTAGGCAAGATGACCTAATAACCAGAAAAATAAGTTATATCTTTTAGATACCTGAGCATCAAAATTAAGTTGTCTGGTCAATCAACCAGTTGCTTTGTCTACATAATAACAAAGTCTAGCCCTAGCCGGATAGCTCAGTTGGTTAGAGCATCATCCTCATACACTAAGGTTGAATCCCCAGTCAGGACACAAACAAGAGTCAACCAATGAATGCATTCATAAGTGGAAAAACAAGCCTCTCTCTCTCTCTCTCTCTCTCTCTCTCTCTCTCTCTCTCTCTCTCTCAAAATCAATAAAAAAATAACAAAGTCTAGTTTGGTTTGGTTTGGCTTGGTTTGGGGAGTTTTTTTTGGTAACGTCATTAATTTTCCTAAAATAACTGATTGTTGTAGAAGATACTCATACCCAGAAAAATGTCCTTAGGATTGTATAATACCAGATTAAAAAGGGACTAACTATAAAAGTCTAGATCTAGATCCAATGTATAATTCATCTCTCCCCAGCTTCTCCAACAGATAAGAGGTTCTGACCTCCTAAGACAGCCCATTCTATCTATACTATCTTATAGATGGACTATAAGTAATTCCATCTCTATATGGAAACTTCTATTTATTGGTCCTTGTATACATTTGACAAAAGGGAAAATAAAATTTTTCCTCTTTAACAGTAAAGCTCTTCTTTCCTCTATATAAAATAACGTGTTTTTTCTTCTTTTGACATGCCTTTATATCTATCCTCTCACCAAATACATCTTTTGTTTTTAAAAGCATGCTCTCTCTCTTGCCAGAGGGCAGGAGTTTATTGGGACGCTGAGTGAACAAGATGAAGGGACTAAGAAGTACAAATTGCTAGTTATAGAATAGTCATGGAGATGTAAAGTACAGCACAAGAAATATAGTCAATAATATTGTGATAATTATGTACGGTGCCAGTTAAGGTACTGGAAATATCAACTATTATGTAAAGTATATGATTATCTAACCAGTAAGTTGTATGCCTGAAACCAATACATAATTAAAATTTAGCCCAGCCAGGGTGCCTCGGTGGTTAAGCATCAACCTGTGAACCAGGAGATTGCAGTTCGATTCCTGGTTGAGGGACATGCCCGAGTTGTGGGCTCAATTCCCAGTGTGGGGAGTGCAGGAGGCAGCCTGATCAATGATTCTCTCTCATCGCTGATGTTTCTATCTCTCCCTCTCCCTTCCTTCCTGAAATCAATAAAAATATATTTAGAAATTAAAAATAAATAAATAAAAGCACGCTCTCTTAAAATGTGGTTCCTAGATATAAACTTGGGATTTAAAAAATGTTTTGACAACTGTGGAATGTTGAGTGGGTTTATCAAACCCTCCTTAGCCTAGAAAGTTTTCTCCAGAAGTGACCTACGTAAATCCTATTAGACTATGGCAGCCTCACCACTCTGTTGACATTTTGAACTCACTATTACCTAAAAGCCCTAGGCCATTTTTACCCAGAATTTTTAATATGAACTATTTTTCCAGTCGATTTTCTAAACCCAGATATAAGCTATGTATTTATTGTTTATCCCTATTAAACTTTATTCTGTGAGTGTCAGCCATTTGTCCAGGTAGTCAAGTTCATTTGAAGCTCGGTGTTGTCACCATCAGATTCAGTAAAACCCCAGCTCGCTTGCCAAGATGCCTACCAAACTATTGAAAACAATATCAGGAAGACATTCCATTCCACTATGGTAAACTCTTGGTCCTAAACCATTCTTGATGAAGTTTAAATCCTTTCCCGGGTAAGGCAAGATCTCAAATAGACCAAGACTTAAAAACTGACTAACTTCTTAACAATTCACATTCATGATAACTAACAGCACTTTATTTTAAAGTAAGAATATCATGTCTAACAGTAAAAATAATACAGGAAACACAGTGAATTAAAGTCATTCATTATGACCAACATCTACTTTTGGTTATTTATCTGGTCTTTATATGAAAGTGTTAATGATGAAACTCATATCGTATTTACCACAGTTAGATTTCTGTCTTTCCTTTACCTCACCTAAAGCGAAGACAGGCTTAAGCAAGGACAGTGGACTTTCTATTAAGTAAAAGTGAAACCAACACAAATTCTCCACATCAAATAGAATCTTTATATTTAAAGTTTTCCAAATATGTTTGTTAAACTACGGTTCTCATGGGATTTATGCCATTGTTCAATAGACACTATGAAATAATAAACATAAAATAATAATGTTGGTAAAATGTAATGATTAGCATAACTTTCTCCAGATGCACACACACACTAGTCATAGAGAAAGAAGTATTTGCATTTAACTTTGAAATGTACAATCACCGAAATGCTTGAGCAGCCACATGTGTAGGAGTGATAGGTCTCGCACATATTTATGAGCTGCCTTAAATCCTTTCGAGAGCAAGGAGAAACGTAAATAAAAGACACAGTCACATATTTAATGAGGAGGGAGAGGAAAATCTAAATTGGTACGCAGTCACTGCTCTCAGCAACCATTTTATTTCCTAAATGTTATTTCGCAATGTCTAGATGCCTCCTTTCCATGAACATGACGACTATAGAAGACATGCTACATTATCCAATGTCATAGATACTAGACATTGTTAAACAAAAACACAGTAGCAAAATAGCTTTTTAAATGAGCTATTACCATTACAAATTTAAATAAATGTAAAATGCCACCTGCCTTCTACAGAGTGATTCCCAATTGTCTTCAGGGGATATACCTTCTTGTGTGACTCTGGGAAGAATCCATGCTACCGAATCAGATAATCATATCTTTGATTTGGTTTAGGATTTACATGGGGATAATACAATTTCATCTGTCTTTTTTTCCCTCACTTAAAACTTAAACAGAAAACACATATGTACCATATATGTGATATAAATGTACCCTGGTGGTTTTATTTAATTCTCTCCTCTCTAACCCAAATATTTCCTCATTTTCTCTTTTAATTTTTTGTAGAAAAGAATAATCAAGTACTGGTAGTTTACTTGAAAGTTTTTTGGAAGTCACTTTATTACATAACTCCTTGAACAGAAAAATCCTTTTACCAGAGATAATGTTTGTTCAGTTGTTTGTTGTTTTTAGCTAAGTGGCATAAATCATCCCAGTCATGGGATAAACAGATATTCATTAGTAGGGGAATCCTGGTTTTAATCCTGTTTGTCCCATGGATGGCAAAGACCACATTCTTAACATTTAAGCCTCAACTTAACTCTCTTAGCACCTTTCCTGATGATTCCAGCCTTGTACACTATACTCCATTGAGGTCCATGAGTATAGCATAGCCAAATTCAGCAAACTTACAGAATGCCCATTCAAAGTTGGTTTTCAGATAAGTAGCAAAGAATGTGTTAGTATAAATATATGCCAAATATTGCATAGGATATATTCATATTAACACTTTTTTGTTGTTTATTTGAAATTCTAATTGAATTAGGTGTCCTGTATTTCATTTGACAATCCTAAAAACACATCTTCTATGCCACAGTTTTAAAAAAAAAAATTTGTGTTGATTTCCCCCTCCATCTCAGGTGACCTTCTGTGCCTTGTTAACATGGAAGACCCAGCTCAATGGGCTTTTTTCTCCTTCTCCATAACATCTCGGCTGACCTGCTCCACTTCAACCCCAGCAGAACCGATCATTTCCTTCTTTGTGCTGAGGCTGTGCCTCATATATACTCGATATAACTGAGTCACAAGCTGTATCTCACCATCTGCGTGTGTCTCTGGTTGTGAAGTCTCTGAGACACATGGTGCTTTACTCATCTGTGTCCCCAGTACTTGAAGATAGAGGATTCCACATCAGGTATCTTTCATCAGGTAAGGGTAAGAGCAGAGAGCTGGAGACAAAGAAAACTCAATTTAAATCCTGATATCTACTACTCTGTAACTGAGACTGGACGATATTCTTAGACCCTTGGGGCCTAAAGATCCTCATCTACATTTTTTTTTTATTATAGAAGTGGCCTTTGTTGCTGGGGTGGAGGGTGGCAAGCATAGAGATTGCTGTATTAACTGTGCAGGTAAGGAATAGCTGAGAGGGGTCTCCTGGCTGGCCTCAGCCTTTCACTCCAATTGGATGGTGGCAGCATCTCCCCAGAGGGAGATACTACAAGGAAATATAGTCAAGCAACTGGGAATTACTCAGTGGGAGGCATTACAGCAATCCTTCTCATCTGCCCTCTTCAGGAATCCAAAGTTTGGCTACTGGCCAAGCAGAAGGTCCAGGAAGTGGAAAAATTGGTGAATAATGCCCTTTCTAATATCCTTTCCCTTAAGGACAAGGCTTTGAAGTTGAAAATCGGTAATTCCCACATCCTGGATGTCAAAGCCAAACTGACTTCTGATGGCAAAGGCCTTAACCTGAAGCTTCCTGTCACCACTAACGTCACCCTGATCCTGCCTCTCATTGGCAAGGTGGTCAACCTGAAGACTTCCTTGGACCTCCTGACTTGTGTCAAAATGGAAACCAATGTCCAGGCTGACATTCCCACAGTGGTCCAGGGCGAATGCACCTGCAAACCCAGCCAACACGTTGCTCACCTTGTTGGGCAGCCACAGTGTACTGATCAACAACCTCACAGACACTTTGACCAGCTTCCTGAGCAAGACTGTGTCCTTCCTGGAGTAGAAGCAGATATGCCATCGATCTGCATTTTCATCTCCACCCTGGCTGTGAATTTTATTCAGAATACACCAATAAACTTCAGCAAAGAATCATCTACACATTTTTTAAATAAAACATTCCTGGACAAGTAATTGTTGAAAATGAACTTGTTTATATATAAGGGACCTGTCACTAAGAGGAGAGTCACCAAAATAGTTACCTTCTAATTCTACTCTCCTTGTTGAACTAAGAAAGCCTTTCAGAGTTACAATGTCTTTCCTTTTCTTTCTTGATTATCTGGAGAGAACTTCAATTTTCAAATTAAGTTTTAAATTGTGTATAATTATGACCTAATAAACTCAACTTTTAATTAAAAGTATTTAGTTGTTTCCCCTAATTCTGATTTAATATCTGCTTCTACATGTTCTTCCTTCGCAATCAACTAGCACTTCCAATCAGACCATAAAGAAAGCAAAACCCTGTTCCCAAAAGTTTGCAAAGAAAAAGCTTCTAAAAATGACTCTTGTCTCATCTGTCTGACTCACATTTATCTAAAAATAAAAGGAAAACTAGGAGAAAAAAATAAACGAACAGAGGATAACGTGCAGCCTCATGTCTCTAAGTCAGATAACAAGATAATTTTTCTGCATGCTCTATATTTCACTTTACTTTCCAAATGACCTTTCCACCCCCTAGCCCTATCACTAGAATATAAATCCATTAATGAGGAATCTTTTCTTCCCCTGTCCTTTTTCATATCAATCTCAGCAGGACCCCAGACTGTTCTTTGAGTTCATTCACTTTATAGCCATTAAAAAAGAAAATATAGTCTGCAGACGGCCTGTCTCCAATTGGTTAAGCACAGGATGAAGAAGTAAATTCCTGAGTTTCGAGCTTTCGTCTACCACTGATTTTCTATGTGAAACTTAGGGAAGTTTCCAAACCTCTTTTGTTTTTAAATCTGTGAAAAAGAGGGAATTATTTAAAAATTTTGCCATTTTTAGTATAAAATTAAAAGCTCTTAAAATATTAGTGTTTATGGTTGATAGTTTTCAAAATAAGTTTGCTTGAGTTTGGGTCTCATAGGTTTTAATGCCATTGCTCATGAGATACTGCAAAATACTACTACTGCTACTACTACTACTAATAATAATAATGTAATAGATAGTATAACTTTCCCCAGAAGCACACACATTTTAATCTAACTTTTAAAACTAAAGGAATCACAGAAAAATATGTATAAGATCTTGTAATAAGTTGAAATTATCTTCAGAGATATGGGTGGTTCCAATACATTCAATCACTTACTTATTAAATTAGCCAGTTTATACCATAAGCCAACTTCTGTGACAGACTTATTATAAGTTTAATTTCCTAATAACAATGGTACTGTATCAATAAAATGTACAAAATGAATATCTGAAAGTTTAATAATTTAATACCCGTAAATTAATCCTGTACTAATTTTATTAATATTAGTATTCACTGAACGTTCAAGCCCCCACAATAATATCTGTACTTTGAGAGCAGCATGGCCTTCTCCTGAAGACTCAAGTAACTGTCACCCTACATTGCACATGCCCAATGACACTTCTCTGCAAAGTAAGGTCTCCTCCGCTCTCTGAAAGTAGAGGTTCCTATGATACTTTTCGTGAACAAACATGGCAACATAATCCATACTAAGAAAAGACAGATAATACTTTGAGATCCAAATTCTAAGGGTCACATGGGTTTCCTGTTTCATTAAACTTAAGAGAGCCGTTCCTTTAAATCAGGGTATGTATGTGGATTTTAAAAGAAAAGGAGAGACAACTTATGCAGGTATATAAAACTCTTTGTGTTTTCCTAGAAGTAGCTCTTACACTGCATCCATGCGTGTAATCTGGAATGATGGCTTGTGCTTCTCTAAGACTGTCTCACTGTCACACAGCCTCAGGGACACACACAGAGCTGAGAGGGGAAAAGAGTGAGACCAACGGATCAATAAATGTCATAGCTCCATCATCTCACATAGAGGTGAATTTCTTTCAATAAAGGGAGGAAAAGATCTCCACAGGGCACCTTGAAGATCCTGCTCAGGTAAGCTGTAGCATGGAGAGGCCTCTAAAACCAGCCCGAACCACTATCTGTTGGAAAGTGCTGTCACTGATTTTACATGCAGGAACCAGAAATATAAGGAATCACATTCTAGTCCTGAAAGCATGATCCTAATGAAATTCAGGAAAACAATCTAAAAGAAATGAAATGTACTTTTACTACACTGCTTAAAATTTTTGTAACAAGCATGAATCATTTAAAAAAACAACAACAGTAAAAACATTTCTTGAGAGAAAAAATGGAAGGAGGGAAGGAAGGAAGGAAGGAAGGAAGGAAGGAAGGAAGGAAGGAAGGAAGGAAGGAAGGAAGGAAGGAAGGATGAGAGGAAGGAAGGGAGGAAAGACAAGTGGGAGGAAGGCAACGTCCTTTGCCCTTTTAGAATTTGTACTCATAGGAGGCTGTGGATTGTGGGATAGGGAACAGACCCAAGTGCCTTTAACCATTTGGCTCTTTAAAGCACTTTGTGATTTCTGAACCCACATGCTTGATCTCAGAATCTGTAGCCATAAAGGTTATAGTAGATCAGTTTCAACTTCCCTTAGTTCCTCAAGAACCCACTTTAGGTGCTGCACAGAGAGCACTGGGAAGGGAAAAGAACTCCCTTCAACTTCAGAGAAATAGCCCAGAAAATTCTCAAAGCTTTCTGTGCTGATGGGAAATAATCATTCTTGACCTTTTTCTCTCTCCCTCCAGAGGCTATGGCTCTTTGAGCACAACTAAAGAAATTGAACCATTTCTTTCCAGGTCAAGGGAGCAAGGCTAGAGTTGTTCTGTTATTCACTGAAGTCCTAACAAGCACAAAACATAGTATTGGGCACTTAAAGATCCAAAGAAATAGAAGATATGATTCCCACTGGGGCAAGAAGAGATACATAAAGCAAAAAGTAGATGGAAATTTAGCTGCCAAACAGGAGATTTCACAAGGTTATTGCTAAAGGCAAGTGTATAGACCATGCGCACTCTCTTGACAAATGTAATGTATTTAATAGGCACTGCTTTTTTAAAAAAATGGATTTATCGACATCTATTAAATACACACATGCACACACATGCATGCACACACATCCACAAACACAATCACCAGGCTGTTAGAATAAAATTTTTAAAAATAATCAGAAGTTATATAAATATAAAAAGTTTAAATAAATATAGAAAGAGCAGAGATTAAGAATAGGTGGCATTTACTGAGCATTTTTACTGCTCCAGGTACTATGCTAAGTGCTCTAAATGCATTTACTCAATTAATTCTTGCAACAAATTAATAAGATAGGGATTTTTACCATTTTATATTTGAAGGAACCAAAACTTAGAAAGGTTTAATTTGTATGAGGTGTCACAACTAACCCCATGTTACTAAACCTTTGGTGATAGAGTAGAGAATTGTGATCAACAGTGTACACATACTACACTAGTCTGTTTGTAGGGAACTTAGTGTTTCAAACTTAAGAGTGCTATTGAGTCAACTTAATTATCCACTCAAAAATACAATTATTACCAGAAGAACTAAAGTATGTATTGGCAAATTGACTAATGAATAGAATTAGCTGAGAACATTTTTTAAAGCAATGGACCTCAGATACAATTTACAAAGGAAAGTGTATCATATTTCATCATTACATTTTTGTTGAACACTTATATTGCAATTACCTTTATTTGATGATAATAATAGAAATGTGAATAAGAGATACAATTAGCTACCTTCTGGGAGCCAACAATACTCCTGTGTGAGATGATGGGACAGTTGGAAGGAGAAGAGGTAGGAAACAGACAGCACACTGGGGAGTAAGTCCTATTGTGGATATATGAGCAGAGAACAGGGTGCAACCACACAGTCCAGCTGTAGGGCTCTGGGTGGCTTCACTGAAGTTGTCATAGTTGAGCTGGGCCTAAATAGATTGGCAAATTTTGTCTGAAAAGTGAAGGGGGGAGGACATTTCTGACAGAGAAGAAAGTAAGTGCAAATGCATGAACTTTACAAGGCCAGGTATTCATATGAGAAAAAATAAGCACCTCTAAAATGGAACAAAGCCAGGAGCTATTTAAGATAAGGTTGACCACAGCCCACAGAAACAGAGGGAAATGGGGGAAAGGTACGACCAGTTCAGGTGAGAAGAGGAATTAGAAATTATTGCCAATCATAGGAACTAGGAGAACCAAATGCTCCTCCTCTTCTTGCTCAGGAAAAGGCATCATAGTTCACTTAGTTGTTCAAGACAGAAACTGAGGTATCCTGTATACCTTCTTCCACCCCCTCACTCCTTATATCTCATCAGTCACCAAGTTCATCGATTCTGCTTCCTAAACCTCTTTCCTATCTGTTCATTTCTCTGAACCCTCAGCATAACTAAACTAGGACAAGTCTCTGCATCCTCTTGCCCAGGCTAGTGCAGCAGTCTAACTGTATCCCACCAGTCCATTCACCTTCCATTAGCCAGCATGATCTTTTTAAAAACACAAATTCAACCATGTCACTCTTCCAGGGCCGTCTCAATACCCTGAAGGTAAAATTCATGCTAATTGTGCTTCACAAAGCCCTCTCCAGCATCTATTATTTCCCACCCTGCCACCCAACTCCACTATGCCCTACAAAACAGACTCTATGATTCACTAATATTAACTTACTTTTCTTCCCTGAGATACATCATGCCCTCTCTTCTCTAGACTTCTACTGTTTCCTCTGCCTGGTGCACTTTCTCCAGGTTTTGCTTGCTTAAGCCATCTCATCCTATAGTTGTCTTCTTAGATGCTACATTTTCTGGGAAGCCTTCCTTGATCATCACAGCAGGATCAAGCATCCTCTCCTGGTGACTACCTAACACATTGTTCTTGTCTTTCCCAGCACTGAGAGAGATGTAATTGCTTCTTTACTTATCTGCATTCCCAAATAGACCTTAAGTTCCAAAAAACAGGAGAGCATTCATTTTATATCCCTTAGTAGCTGGTGTTATTAGACCAGTAAATTAATGATTAAATGAACCTTGCTGACTCTGGACCAATAGTTAAGGAGGACAGAAAGGCTGATACAAAACAATGAGGTTCAGCTACCAGCCCCATAAGCAAACCACTGGAATAGCTGAGATTTTGTCAGCATTGATCAATCAAATTCCAAGCAAGCTCAGGCTTGGGA